CGTAGATAGGTTTGTCTTTCTTGGACATCCTGGAGTTGAGAAAAGCCGTCTTCATGTCGGCCTGCCTGAGAGCTTGGCCCAAATCAGCAGCGTGGGAAACCACTAGATGGACAGATTCCATAGACGCCACCGGTGCAGCCTTATCCGCTCCCGTGTCAGCTTCGTGAAAACCTTGCACCACCACGCGACTCTTCGGGCGAACTGGCACATGTTCTTGGTTGTACTTCCACCTGTAGTGGAACCTAGTCGGAAGAAGTTGGGCGTCTTCGGGCGGAAGCACCCAGTCGAACACGTCGTGGTCGTAGAGCGACTGCTCTTCATCGTTCATGCTCGCTCTCCAGCGTGCTGCATCCGGTCCACTCATCGCTTCATCGTAGGTGGCAGGATCGGCAAGCATGTAGCCCACCTCCCCGGGACTGCCTCTCCCGAGGTTGCCGAAGTCACTTCCAGTCACCATAGCATGTTCGGTCCTCTCGTACGCCTGTTCTTTCGTAAACAGATTCAACCGTTGCGGCGCCACGGAGTTCCTGCTGCTGCGGCGAGGTGCCGGTGCTTCCGGCTCCGATTCGTCGGATGATTCTTCGTTATTTTCTTCTTCTTCTTCGATAGAGTCTACCAGACCAGGCCGATAGAATGTTGAGTTAGGCGCGGGGAGAGGATCTTGCCCTAGTTTGGGCTTGATCACGTCGCGCATCTCCTTCTCACGGAACGATACCTCCACGGAGTTGGTGATTTTGAGAGGCTCCGAAGGGTCCCAAAGTCGATACGACCTACCCTTGGAGTTGTAGCCTACTAGGTACATTTTCTTGGCCCTGGCCGCCAACTTGTTCGACCGGGCGCGTACCTCTTCGTGCTTAAAAGCCAGCGACCCCCACTCGTGGATGTGAAGCATCTTTCCGAGCGGCTTCCCCTCCCATACCTCGAGTGGTGCCTTGCCGCCCAGGACTTCGGTCGGGGTCCGATTCTTGAGGTAGATTGCAGTCATGAAAGCCTCCCCCCACAGCTGTTGAGGAAGGTGCGGTGCTCCCAAGAGAAGCTTGCGGGCAGTGCCGATGATGGTACCAAATCCACGCTCGGCGATGGGGTTCCCTTGCGGGACATAGGGGGGGCTATTCGTGAGCTTGATTCCGAGCGACTTACATAGCGCCAGAAACTTGCCCAAATACTCCGCTCCCCCGTCGCAGTGCACCGTGCCGATGCTCTGACCAAGCGGGTCGGCCTCGTCCCGAACCAGAGTTTGAAGAGCTTCGGCCGTTTCGTCTTTCGTCTTGAGTAGGTAGCCGAACCTCATGCGAGTAGCGTCATCAGTAAACATCACGGCACTCTGGCAACCCCCGTATGTAGCAATAGGATGTTTCCCCCACGTATCGGCATTTAGAATTTCCAGCCGAGTCTCCGAGAGGGGACGGTTAGACGGGGGGTGGCTGCCCTTCTTACTGTCACCAACCGCACAAACACCGCAGTCACCTGGTTCGATGTTGCGATTGAACCTGATTCCGGTAGTGTCCTTGTCCGCCAGCTGCTGCAGCGCTCGCGAGTTGCAGTGGCCCATCCTCCGGTGCCACAGGTGAGCGTCTACCTTCGTGCGATTTACTTCTACAGCGCCCAGGTTGACGTCGTCGATGATGACATTCAGCACGTACATGCGAGGCACTGCGGTCGAGATCGGAAAGACCTGGTTGCCCATGCGAAGCGCCGGCGGGGTAGACATCAGATCACACATCACCCCCTTCTCGGCCAGCGCTCCAACCGAAAGTATGTTCGCTCCAAGGCCCCGAACCAGCAGAACCTCCAGAGCTACTCGCACGACTTGGTCTTGATCATTGCGCACCCCAAACTTCAGGGTACCTTTCTTGGTTGCGTCGGATGTGCCACACGACCCGATAATGCGCACAGCGCAATCTACCGGATTGAGGACGTGATGGGACAAGCGAGACTGCTCATCCACCATGTGGCTGGACGCGGCGGAATCAATGTAGCAGGCGGAATCATCAACGACCTGCGGTTTCTCTTTGTCCACCTGAAACACGCTGCTGAACGCAACGAGCTCGGTGTCCTCAGGCGCCTCCTCCGTCTGAGAATATCCGTTGGCAGCAGGGTCATAGACCACCGCTGCAGCAGGTGTGTCCAGTACCTGCGGGTCATACACAACGCGTGCATCCTGCAGCGTCGGCACCGGCGCGTCTTGCACCAGCGTGTCACCAGCAGCGCGCTCCTCTGGCTGCGCCGCAGCAGGCGCATCCTGCACCTGCACGTCTTTTCCGAAAGAGATGGCGTAGTCCTCCAGCACATCGCCTTCAGTCTCCACCCGCGTGAACCATGCCTGAGTGGTGGAGTCTTGAGTGTGGTGAGTATCAGCCTGTTCAGTGGCTTCCTCCGCCTCGTGCCTCAGGCGGAGCGGGCAGTTGTGCCACCCGTGCTCTGTCGAATTATGACAGTAGCGGCAGCGCCCTTTTCGGTTCCGACCGGTGTCCTGGCCCTTACCTCGGCCACCGGAGGCGTTGTTGCCGCGATAATTCCCGCGAGCACCTTGCGCATTTCCCGCGCTGCCGCCTCCAGCGTTGCCGGCCGATCCGCCGCCGCTGCTGTAGTTCCCATTCGACGAGCCGTTCGTCGAACCGTTTGTAGTTCTGCCGCCATTTCCTCGGCGACCACCACGACCACCACGGCCGCCGTGCTTGCGGAAGCCACGTGCCCCTCCGTGCGTGACAGTGTTCAACGCACGGCCGTGGCTGCCCGACCCATCGTCTTGGTCGAGCACTTTTCCGCGAATTTGCATTGCGTGGTAGAGTGTGGCACGACGTGCGATATCGTCGAAGCCTAGCGCACCGCTACCAACAGTGGGCGACTCTACCAACAGTACAGTCTTGAACGAGCCGTATTGCTTGTCGGGCAGGGCCTTAAGGATGGCATGTGCTTGCCGTTGTTTCATGACTGTGTCTCCGAGTTTGCCGAGTTCGTGAAAGATGCGGCGCAATTGTTGGATTGCGCGAGCCGGATCGTATTTGTCAGCAGCGGTGACCGCGACGGCGGCCAACTCATCGTGTAGCTGCTGCATTCTGAAAGTCCCATCGACACGGTACTTTTGCTCGAGCGCTACAAAAGCACTTCGACCGTCACCGAACTCCTCGTCCCCGACAGGCCCAAACGACTGCACTACCTGCGAAGCCGGGCTCGAGTATCCTTCCGGGCAGTCCGACGTAGCCAGCAGAAGCCGCGTGTAGAGTTTGCCATACTTTTCTTGGAACTTTTGTAGCTTCCTCTCGTACGTCGCGGTCGCTGCGGCGTCGGCATCCTCCGCCACCGTGGAAGCCTTCTCCGCTCCAGACATGACCCGACCTAGGTCTGCCTCGTACATCAGCGCACGGAAAAGCGAGACCCAACCGACAAACTGGCCGGGTTCTCCGCTGAACGCGACATATCCGCGCTGCAGATGATTTGACGACTGCTGTTGCGCTGATGACGCCATTTGACTCGAGATGATTCCCTACCTCGCTATGCGTGGCTCAAAACCTCTTGGGCGGTACCACAGCTGTAGTACGCTGGTTGGCGTATGTGGTAGAGGCGTGGTAGAGAAAACNATCCGCGCTGCAGATGATTTGACGACTGCTGTTGCGCTGATGACGCCATTTGACTCGAGATGATTCCCTACCTCGCTATGCGTGGCTCAAAACCTCTTGGGCGGTACCACAGCTGTAGTACGCTGGTTGGCGTATGTGGTAGAGGCGTGGTAGAGAAAACAAAAAGTGATTTATTATCCACACACAGACGCCTGGACTGTCTGCACCTGACGGTTACAGTAAAACAGAACGCCTTCACAATACCCTATCAAACACATACAGCAGAATAGAGTCGGTCTTGCACAGCAAACACCCCAACACATACAACTCACCACGATCGCAGCTCTGTGCGCGCTTGTGGGAGAGGAAGACCTATTTCTCGTGCTTGGGACGTAAAGCCTGCTGCGCTGGCAGATGTACGAGCAGCTCGTGGCAGCGACAACGATCGAGGGTATCCGGTTCGACTACTTAGAGAGAATCGGAGCATACGACTTCAAGGAGCTGTTCAGGTTCGAGAAACCTCACTTCCTGGAGCTGTTGAACGCACTCCAGCTACCGGATACGTTCAAAGTGTCGCGGTGAGACATACCGCTTGCGATAGTTGTCGTACCACGTATCTTCCTTGGCAGGAGAAGCACCGAAGCTAACCCCGACATGCCGTGGCGTGTTGCCCTCCTGACGTGTGGACGACGCAGCGGTACATAGTCCAACTAGGGTTCTTGTTTGGTATGAAATCAGGTGGAAGTCGTAGGCATAACTATCTCGCGCCGCGTCTAGCGTGGCAATTTCATGAGTTGGGTGCATCCGCCACCACCGCGCTTTGTGTGCATACACATGACTCTTGCATCGAGCGACAACGTCTTCCAAGCAGAGGGTCCATTCTTCAGCCTAGGTCGTACGCGCTCTTGGGTTGAATTAAATGTAACGCATCCAGCCTTTCTATCGAGACGAGGTAGGTATGCCCTACGAAGTAAGATGTTTAGGGGGCCTTCCGGGGTATGCCGATGTGAGGTTGAGAATGGAGTTGTTGCCAAACAGCCTAAGCTCTGGAAAGTCAACTGTGGGTTGCTCTGGGTGTGTACATGCGATATCCGGTCTCATATTTTTTATCCGGGGTCGGGAAGGTGGGTTTTCAGCGAAATTTGGCGATTTATCTTACTCAATGTATAGGA